CCTGTTTTTCCTACAAGTGGAAGTTAACTCTAGAGGTTTGCTTAAAATCAAGTTTAAGTTTTTTGGCAAGAACGCTTAGGAGGCCTGTGGTGTCTGGCTACTCCACTTCTTTTGATACTAAAAGACCCCACATTTATTTCCCCCAATGTGGCAAAATGGTGATTTTCTTATATTGACATTTCTGCCACGTTTATTAGCAGGAGTTCTGTAAAGAAGGCCTTTACTTCACCAACTAGGGCTGTTTGAGGTTACCTTGAAATACATTTTTGTATGAGAGACTACCAAGTAATTTTATATTATTGTGTTCTTGATAAAAGATAATGAGTTTGGCCGGGCCGGTGTAGCCCAGCGGTTGAGCATCATCCCATGCAATGAGAGGTCACCAGTTCGATTCCTGTTCAGGGCACATGCCCAGGTTGTAGGCCAAATCCCCAGTGGGGGACATGCAGGAGGCAGCCAATCGATGTTCTCTCTCATCGATGTTTCTTTCTCTCCCTCTCCCTTCCTCTCTAAAATCAATAAAGAAAAAAAAATTTTTTTTAAGATAATGAGTTTGAATCAGAATAAAAGGAATTGAATTTATCTTTTGTTTTCATGAGTGTTACAGTAAATTCTGAGTACTACAGCAAAATGTAGATGATTGCTTTTCTTTACAAGTGAGATGTGTATGCCAAATGCTCTAAAAGTTAAAGGTGGAGATATGTGAAAGCCTTTTATAGACTGGAACCAAGCAATGGAAAGGAAAGAGTACTGGATTGGGATTAAAAAATTGGGGGATTTCTGGAGTTAATTTGGCTCAACCCCTAAGTGTCATATCCATGTATTCTTCATATACTGGGTGTGTATGTGTGTCCAAAATATTGTTAGTATTTTCATGAAAGTGTAGACTAAAGAAATCAAGATTATGTATAATAGAAATAATGCTTAAATATGTTTAAAGGCAGGGAGAATTCTCCATTGAATAGCATTCTTTTTTTTAAAAAAAATGTTTTTATTGATATTTTAGTGAGAGAGGAAGGGAGAAAGAGATGGAAACAATGATATGAGAGAGAAACTTCAATGGGCTGCCTCCTGCATGTCCCCTTCTGGGGATCAAGCCTGCAATCCAGGCATGTGCCCTCACTGAGAATGGAACCGGGACCTATCAGTCCATGGGACAACACTCAGTCCACTGAGCCACACTGACCGGGCTGAATAGCATTCTCTTTATTTAAATTATACTTTATGGGAGAAAGTCCTATGATCATAGTTTCTCATAATACCTCTTGTTTAACTTCATGTCTTCACATTTTTATTCAGTAAAATTACTGAATAAAGTTATGCTGAATAAAGCCTTAATTATCTGTCCTCCATTGTACCTTAGGCAAGTTTGTTTTATGTCATCTTCTGAATATGTGTATTCTGGGGAAAGTAAACTTAGTATCAAATGAAAATAAATAGGTCAGTGTTCTTAGATTAGTGGTAATTTCTAGACACCTCTAAACGTATTATTTGAGAAGTCCATTAAAAGTATGTGCTAGTAGCCCTGGCCGGTTTGGCTCAGCAGTTAAAGCATTGGCCTGCGATCCAGAGAGACCTGGGTTTGGTTCCCACTAAGGGCACATACCTCAGTTGCAGTTTGTCCCCGGCCCTGGTTGGGTCATGCGAGTGGCAGCCACTCGATGTGTCCCTTTCACGTCGATATTTCTCTCTCTCTCTCTCTCTCTTCCTCCCACTCTGTCTGAACAAAAAATGGAAAAAATGTCCTCGGGTGAGGATAAAAAAAAAATGCCTCAAAAGACCATAGATACAATCAGTGTACTTATTTTAGTCTGTTGAGCTAAGTATAAAAGCTGATTATTCCTCATTAGGACACTAAGATGGTTTTAATGCTGAAAATTACATTTTTCTACCTGTTGGATTAAACAGATGCTTGTAGAACACCTACTGTGTGTAAGTCATTAGGCTGGGTGATGAATAGTAGAGTTGATTTCAGTATTTGGCTGAAGACGGAAAGAGCCCTCTGAAAGTTTTGTTTCAACTGTGTTATCTTCCTTGTCCTCACTTAATGCAACCAATAGTTCCTGGGCTTAGGCCTCATCATGCAACCTTTGTCCTGTTTCCTTGTTTGTTCAGTGCTGTGTGGGCTAGAGAGTGGTGAGCACGGGGATTACTAGCGGGGTTGAAGTTCTCTGCTCTTTGGAGGGCCCATGGCTTATATATTCTCGTTTTCCATCCTATGTCAGAAACAAGGGTGATTTTTGTTTTTATAGGGATATTTCAATTATTTCATCTAGTATACTGTTTAGATTTACCATTGTACCTTTATTCATGTTAATACGTATTTATTGAGTATCTTTTAAGTGCCAAGTATTGTTCAGTCTGAATTTATAGAAATTCCACGTCTTGTGGTAAGACACTTGTTTCTTATTAATGAAATTTAATGAAGTTAAAACCACTATATTTATTTATTTATCTATTTATTTTAATCCTCACCCAAGGATGTTTTTCCACTGATTTTCAAATAGAGTGAGAGGGAGGGAGGAGAGAGAGAGAGAGACATCAATGTGAGAGAGACATATCAATTGGCTACATCCCGTACAACCCTGACTAAGGCCAAGGATTGAACTGCAACCTAGGTATGTGCCCTTGACCAGAATCGAACCTGAAACTATTTGGTCTGTGGGCCGATGCTCCATCCACTGAGCCAAACTGGGCAGGGCTAAAACCACTATATTTAATGAAGGTATATAGTTCACTTCTGAATTTATTAGATCTGAGGTTGTAATTTTAATATTCTTCTTCTGACATATTATGTATGATCTCACTTAAAAGTTCCTGTAAAGTTGAAGAAAACTGGCTCCTCATGAGAATTTCAGGGCTTTCTTCAAGCTAAGATAACTCACCATAAATGCAGTGAAATTGGTGGAGCCTGCATTTAGATTTTATTCAGACTAATTTCCAGCTCTTGAAAACCTAAGCATATATTTTTACCCAAGTGTATTGCAAGTTTATTTTCCTTCTTTTTTTCTTTTTATAAATTTTTTCTTTATTGCTTTTAGAGAGAGAGAGGAAGGGAGAGAAAGAGATAGAAACATCAATGAGAGAGAACATCAATTGGCCGCCTCCTGCATGTCCCCCACTGGGGATTGGCCCACAACCTGGGCATGTGCCCTGACCAGGAATCGAACCGGTGACCTCTTGGTGCATGGGTTGATGCTCAACCACAGCAACACTGGCCGAGCTTAGGTGAGGATTTTTTTTAAAAGCATGTGGGATTTTAATAAGTTCTGGCCCTACTGTTTGTTAATAATGTGACCTTGGTGAATCACTACCTCTCTTAGCCTCAAATAGGGATCATTATAATGGAATGCTTCAGAGTTATTGAATTTATTATAATTGAATGACTGCAGGGTTATTGTGAGTGTAATTTATCTCCTTTATTTATTTATTTATTTTATCCTCACCCGAGGACATTTTTCCATTTTTTGTTCAGCTAGAGTGGGAGGGGAGAGAGGAAGAGAGAGAGAGAGAGAAAGAAACATCAACGTGAAAGGGACACGAGTGGCTGCCACCTGCACAACCAACCAGGGCCAGGGACAAACTGCAACCAAGGTACCCGCCCATAGCAGGAACCGAACCCAGGTCTCTCTGGACCTCAGGCCGACGCTCTAATCGCTGAGCCAAACTGCCCAGGGCTATCTCCTTTAATAAAGTGTCTTCTTAATGATTGTTGTTGTTAGGCAAGGGATGGGACAATGGAAGAATGAACACTAAAACAATCTCTGGCACCAAGAGATCACCAGTTCGATTTCCAGTCAGGGCACATGCCCAGGTCATGGGCCCAATCCCCATCTGGGGGCATGCAGGAGGCGGCCAATCAGTGTTCTCCTTCATCAATATTTCTCTCTCTCTCTCTCTCTCCCTCTCCCTTCCTCTCTCTAAAATCAATTTTTAAAAAATTTTTTAAGAAAGGAAAAAAGATTTCTCTCACTTAAAAAAAAAATCTCTGCTACATCTCAGTTCTCACCTTTTCATAAATAAGAGCAGTTATACTACCAACTTAGTCTAGCTACTGAGCTGTGGCTGGTTAGAGGTTCCATTCCATTAGTGGTCAAACAATGTAAAAAATTGTGACTACTTAACTGTACTACATACTTTTTTAACTTTTTAGGAGATTGTGGATATATCTTTTTATTTTTTAAATCTTCACCCAAGGATACTTTCCCATTGATTTTGATTTTTTTTATTATTATTATTATTTTTTATCTTCAGATAGAGCGGGAGGGAGAGAGGGAGGAAAAGAGAGAGAAACATCGACGTGAGAGAGACACATCGACTGGTTGCCACCCACACGACCCCAACCAGCCACGGGGACAAACTGCAACCGAGGTATGTGCCCTTAGCAGGAACCGAACCCGGGACTCTCCCATATGCGGGCTGACGCTCTAACCGCTGAGCCAAACTGGCCAGGGACCATTGATTTTTAGGTAGAATGGAAGGGAGGAGAAAGAATGTGAGAGAGACACACCCATTGACTGCCTCCCGCACAACCCCAACCGGGGGCCAGGAATCAAACCTGAAATGTATTGGTCCATGGCCAATGCTCTAACTATTGAGCCAAACCAGCCAGTGCTGTGGATATATCATTTTTGATGGTTGTCTTAATCCAGTTCTCTCCCCCCACCTCTTTTAAACAGCTTTATTAAGATTATATCCTATATAGTTCACCCATTTAAAGTGTACAATGCAATGGCGTTTGCTATATTCACAGAGTTGTATATCCATTACCACAATCAATTTTAGAACATTCTCTTTATCATTATCCCTAGCCACCACTCCCCAGTCTTGCCACCCCTTTCCTGCTCTAAGCAATCACTAATCTACTCTTTCTGTCTGTATAGATTTGTCTAATCTAGGCCTTTCAAAATGGAATTATATGATATGTGGTCCTTTGTTACTGGTTTCTTTTGCCTACCATAGTATTTTCAAAGCCTGTCCATGTTCTCTTTTCCTTATATTAAGGTGCTTAAAGGGACACTGACCTATCCTATAGGAAGAGATGAAGTGACTTTTTTTTAATAAAGAATGTTGACTGGTGTTCCACAATTGGTGTTAGTCACAAAGATGAAAAAAGCCCTATAAATATTTATTGTAGCTGCAAACCAAAGAATAGTGTTCCAGTATAGAATGTAAAAGGTATGTGCCAGTTGCATACATGAATATGAATGTCATGATTGTTGATACATCTTTCAATATGGATAATAATGTGTAACTTTATGGGACTATTTTAACCAAAACTATTACACCACTGTCATTTTTATTTGCTATTTTCCCCTTGTAGCTAATTTTCCACCTGAGTGTTCTGCATAACTCAGACAAATTATGTAATACTTTTAGTTGCATGCTACATATTTTAATCTTTATGTGAGCCTGATGAGCTAAATGCTAGGTATTTTATTTGGGGATAAAGAGTGATTATGTATTAGTTGTTGGAAACAGGATGTACAGGGTGTCCCAAAAAAATATATACACAATCTGAATAATTATAAAGTCATTGTTTATTAACATATAGTTTATTTTCAAAATTTAAAAATATCTAGAGAAATGAATAATTTATTTGTCAACACTTGTTTTCAAACTGATGACCATTGTAGTCCATGTACTGCTGATAATGAAAAGCAATGCAATAGCAAACATCAAGAATCATTTGTTCAGTATTTGTGCACATTCTCTGAATAACTGCCCTTAATTTGTTGACTGTTGTCGGTTTTATAGCATAAACTTTTATCTTTTATGTATCCCCATAAAAATGTCTAGTGGATAAATTGTCTTTGTTCAAAGCTTAGTCTGGCTTAACCTGTTATTTCAAATCAGTTAAACCTGAAAAGGAGTGAAAAATAAGTGACTTATCAGCTTTCACGTATGTATACATTTTTTTTTGGAGACACTATATATAAGTACAATTCTCAGAGCATATGTCCCCCTCAAATTTGTGGCTGTAGTTAAAAAAATTCAGCCCAGCCAGTGTGGCTCAGTGGTTGAGCATCATCCATGTACCAAGAGGTTGCCAGTTTGATTCCCAGTCAAGGCACATGCCCAGGTTGTGGGCCTGATCCCCAGTGGGGGGCATACAAGAGGCAACTAGTCAGTGTTCGCTCTCATTGATGTTTCTCTCTCTCTCCCTTTCCCTTCTTCTTTCTTTCAAAATCAGTAAAGAAAAAAAAAGTTTTTTAATTCAGCCTTTTGTCTTTGAAAAACTCAGGTTCTTCCTCTGTAAAAATGGGGCAGTTGAACTAATACTTAATTAGTGCTAATAATGGTCTTTAATGCTATGGTTCTGTGAAAATAATTGATAAATATGTTACTGATGATTCCAAACTACTTTCTCCACCTCAAGAAACTTGCATTGTAGCCCTGGCCGGTTTGGCTCAGCGGTTGGAGCGTCGCGCGCGTCGGCCTGCGGTCCAGAGAGACCCGGGTTCGGTTCCTAATAGGGGCATGTACCTTGGTTGCAGTTTGTCCCCGGCCCTGGTTGGTTGTGTGGATGGTGGCCACTCAATGTGTCTCTTTCACGTCGATGTTTCTCTCTCTCTCTCTCTCCCCCTCCCGCCCTGTCTGAACAAAAAATGGAAAAATGTCCTCGATTGAGGTTAAAATAAAAAGAAAGAAAAGAAACTTGCATTGTAATGTCAGATTTCCTGTGTTCTACTTAGTTATCTAATGTGTCATGACAGAAGGCTAATGGTATCAATAGTCTTAGCAAAAAGCATATTTTTCTAAAGTAGGGTTAGGATCCATGGTCTGATATTCCAAATTGTCTGTTAATACAAAATAATTTAAAATAGTACTTACCTAGAACAACAGTATGTTAAATAGATGGGTTCAGCTGTGAGTGACAGAAAACCCAAAATAGATGCCTTAAAACGAGATTAAAATGTATTTCTCTCTCACGTAAAGTGGCATAGGCCTGCTATGGAGCTTCATGGCATCATGGACCTTTTACCAATTATCCCTTTTCCCTCTTAGCACTCTACCCTCCTCTTGGGTGTAAACCATATTCTTATTGAGCAAGATGTGGCATACACATTACAGGGATCAGGATGGAGAAAGGGATGAAGCAGATGAAGCAGAAGGTAGAAGGCACCTTCAGTGCTATATTAAACATGATTTCCAGACACTTCTTCTATGTGTATCCAACACATTGGCTAGATTTGAGACATGTGGCCATTCACGGCTGCAAGGAAAGCAGGAAAGTGTAGCCATGTGCCCAGCTAAAAATTCTAATTAGAGTGGAAGAAAGGGAGAAAAGATTTTGGGGTATGGAGAGTCTCTACTACAGTCTGGTTAATGATAAACAAAAGAGAAGACGAAGGAGCATTTGCCATTAGATCTCTTCCACTAAAGAATAAGGGTTCCATGTAGTAGCTGTTTCTGGTTCTCAAAATGGAAATGTCCTTTTAGAGAAGAGCTGACAATGTCATGGAAGCATCTCTTAAGAATGTGTCATTTTTGCCCAGCGGGTGTGGCTCAGTTGTTGAGCATTGACCCATGTACCAAGAGGTCGCCAGTTTGATTCCCGGTCAGGGCACATACCCAGATTGTGGGCCAAATCCCCAGTGGGGGGCATGCAGGCAGTGGCCCTTCCTCTCTCTCTAAAATCAATAAAGAAAAAAAAATTTTTTAAGAATATGTTATTTTCTGCCCTGGCCAGTTTTGCTCAGTGGTTAGAGCATCGGCCCGCGACCAATGAGTCGTGGGTTCAAATCCTGTCAAGGGCACATACCTCTGTTGCAATTCATTTCTGGCCCTGTAAGGGGTCGTGTGGGAGGCAGCCACTCAATGCGTCTCATGTTGATGTTTCTCTTTCTTTCTCTGTCTTCCTCTTTCTCCCTCCCACTCTATCTGAACAAAAATGGAAAAATGTCCTCGAGTGAGGATAAAAAAATAAATAATATGTCATTTTCACCCTGGCTGGTGTGGCTTAGTTGGTTGGAGTGTCACACCGTGCACCGAACAGTCAGGGGTTCAATCCTTAGACAGGTCAGGGATGGGATGTTTCTCTTTTTCTCTCCCTCTCTCTAAAATTGATTTAAAAATAAATAAATAATATAAAAATTTTAAAATGTCATTCTCTTTTCTGTAATTTGGGTTAATGCATAGGATCTTCCAAGAGAGAACTGCTAGATATATTTCCTAGCTTTAATTTATTAGTTGCTATTATGACTTATCTTCAGTTATTGTGGCAGAGGGTAGGGGGGAGAAAGAGAGAAACATTGATGTGAGATACTTTTGTGAGTTAAGGATACTCTTGTTGAGTTAATGTGAATTTTTCCCAATGAGACAAGTAACTCCTGAGGAAACTGATCAAGCAGAGAATAGACTTAAATGTAGATATACATTGAGCATACTGGGAACACATACCTATAAGGCTTCATCTAACCTGAGCCACACATCTCTAATTCCTGATCTTGAGGGAAAATCGCAAGCTTGTATAGTCTTTAATATATCCATCTATATAATCAACAGAATAGTGTTTTGCATGATGAAGATTGGTGTTGGTCTTGTAAAATGTTTTTAAGTAGGAAAGAGCTTACAGAGCTAATGATATGGCAAGTCTTGACTCATAAAAACCCACTTAGAGAATTATTCACTGTTCTGGAATGTTGTGACCTTTTCAGAATTTTTGAGAATAAATAATCAGCAGAACCAGACTCACCCTCCAGAATATTGAAATAACATATTTTATTTGCATCATTGTCTCAGCTGTTCCATTGTCTGTCTGAATTCATCTTTTTTTTTTTTTATCCTCACCCAAGGATACTTTTTTCCATTTATCTTCAGTTATAGTGGCGGAGGGTAGGGGGGAGAAAGAGAGAAACATTGATGTGAGAGAGACACATTGACTGGTTGCCTCTCGTGCAACCCTGACCAGGGCCGGGGATCAAAATACAACCAAGGTACATGCCCTTGACCAGAATCGAACCCGAGACTCTTTGGTCTTTCCTAACTGCTGAGCCAAACCAGCCAGGGCTGCCTGAATTCATCTTAAGGATGAAGTCTATCTTTCTTAAAAGAAAGTGATCCCAGTAAACAACAGAGACCATACGTAGGACTATAATATCTAGAAACTTAAGTTAATTTTCACCAGTGTCAAAATACCAGGCAGCCTGTTCACTTTGCTGGATTCATAACTATTTGAGGTTTGCTCAATTAGTCATCAGCATTTCAGATGCTGCTTTATGGCTGTAGAATTGTCCTGTAAAAATAACATCCAGAATCTAACAGGCTTTTGATTTATACACATTAGCCATCTGGAAATTGTTGTTGAAGAAATGTACCTAAACTCATGACTGTTTCCCTAAATTCCCTTCTCTATCTGAGTCACTTCAGAAAGGAGTCCACTTGTGGCCTAGGCTCAGAGATTTGGATCTCAACCAGAGTGGCCCAGGGAGATGTGGCCTGTGCTCAAATTATCCCTGATTCAGGAATATTCAAACACTAACCTCAGTGCCAACCTTGCAACAAAAAAAGACAAAAGACCTTGATCCTGATGATGAGTACTCCTGTATGCCAGGCACATCCCCCAGAGACAGATGTTGTAACTAGCCTAATTTTACACAGGTGGAAATTGAGACTTGCCTATGGTTCCAGAGAGGGGAGCAGCTAAGCTCGAGTGTGCAGTTAATGCCTCAGCTATGGCATCTTCCATGGAGCCCTCTGATTTACCCTCATTTCCTGGGTAATGAATTTTTAAACCACAGAGACATTATTTTCTCTTACTTTTAGGGCTGTATTTTTTATTTGTTAGCTTGTTTTTGTTTTACCACTCTAGAATTGCTTGTGGTTTTACTAAACTTCTTTGTTTCAATCTTAGTACATACAATTTATGCATTTAGATTTTTCCTCTTCAGGGATCCTAAGCTCCTGTAGGAATTCTGAAAAAAACAGTACCTTTTCTGGTAACTGAGAATTCACCTGTAAAGTATTGGAATTAATGTGCTCAACTCAGAACCCTCAAGGATGGGAGGTAACCTATCAAGGTTTATAAAGGACCCTCTTGCCATTTCTCCCATAGCAACTTGAACAGGGTCTAGAGAATGCACCTTCCCAAGGGTTCAGGGTTTGAAATAAAGTCACCCACAACTCAGAACGTTTTTATGCTACAATTTAGAAAAGGAGGTCCATATGTAAATTCA